GTTTCTTAAACAGTATACAGTTGCATTGGTACACACATAGTATTCGCTTATTTGCCACTAATTCATAGATAAAATCAGCATAGATAACAATATATTAGCATAATTTAATGGCTGGCAAAAATTATAACTTTGGATAGCGCAGGCTGGCATAATCGAAAATGAGCCGATCCGCTTTCTGGCTGGGAAAAAAAATTCATAAACCGCCATCTGGCTGGTAAAATATTCAACTTTTCATTTTTCTGGCTGGGAGTGCAGAACGGATAATTTTTCCCCAGAAAGTTTTAAAATTTGTGTGCATTGTTCGCATACGTATTCTGTTGCTAATTGGACTGGTTTTAGCTTAATTGAACAAAACACGTCGTTGGGTTCTTCTGTGCAATTGTCAAGTTTAGATGATATGAACGAGTGAACAAGGATTTCCGTAGATTTAACAGACAGGAATATTCTGATTCTTGAAATGTTTCGAAGATGATAAAAAGAGGATTTGCAGGTCATTTTGATGTGATTAGCCAAGGACATAGAGTCAAGAAGAACACCGATGTTACGAACACAAGAGGAGGGATGAATAATTTCAGAGCCAAAGCTGATTTCAGGTGAGGAGCTCAATAGAGAGTGCATAGACGAAAAAATAAGAAATTCTGTTTTGTCCTTATTCAGTTTAAGTTTGTTGATAGTCATCCAGAGATCAATATCACAGAGGCAAGCTTTAATACTGTTTAAGACAGCATCCAAGGCGTTTTCATCATTACAGGAGAAAGGAAAGTGTCATCAGCATAGAAATGATATGACATTTTATGCTTCCGGAGAATATCAGCGACAGGAGAAGTGTAGAGCAGATATAGAACCGGGCCCAGGACGGAACCTTGAGGAACACCACAACCAAGCGGAAGAGAGTCGRATGAGACATTATCTATGGATACAAATTGATGGCGATTAGAGAGATAGGACTTGAACCATTGAAGAGCACTCCCACTGACACCAAACTTATAGCGAAGACGATTTAGAAGAATTGAGTGATCGGTATCAAAGGCAGCAGAGAGATCGAGGAACAGCATAGCGACACATTGACGTCTGTCAAGTGATTGAAGAATATCATCAGAAATCCTAAGAAGGGCAGTCTCGCAGCTGTGGTAAGGTCTGTAGGCTGACTGGAAAGGCTCATATAAGTCGTTGAGGGACAAGAAGGCGTTTAATTGATTATGTACCACTTTTTCTATTACTTTAGAAACCATTTTTAGGTTAGAAATTGGACGATAGTTCTTGAAAATTTCATGGTTAAGAGAAGGTTTTTTCAACAGAGGGCGCAGTACAGCAGTTTTCAAAGTTGACGGGACAGATCCAGATTTAAGTGATAGGTTTACAATTTACAAATAACAGGCAATAACAAACCAAGATTTTGACGGCAAAGATCAGCAGGAATAGGATCGAGGCTACAGGACTTAGATAACAGCTTTTTGCATAGAACAAATACGTCTTCATCATTGACAGGCATAAATGAATCGAGACAGCAATCTTTWGAAKRASAATYCAGAYCAACGAAGATATCAGAATCAGGAAGGACACGAGTTGACAGTTCATCTCTGATGGTGGTTATCTTATCTTTGAAGAAGTGAGCAAAATTATTAACAAGGACTTGCATTGAAGGTGCAGTAGGAAGTTTTCTTTCTGGAGTTCGATGTAGAAGCTTATTTATAGTTGAGAATAAGGTTTTATTGTYACAGCCAGAATCATCAATCAATTTAGAATAATAAGACATTTTGGCAACATAAATGAGATCAAATTCGATTTTCCTTTGTTTTTCATAGAGTTCTTTATCAATAGTTAGTTTTGTTTTTCGCCAACGCCTTTCGAGTCTTCGACGTTTTGTTTTGTTTTCTCTGATGACGTCATTATACCAGGGAGCCCGGGGACGAGTTGAAATTATTTTAGTTCGAAGAGGTGCATGTTTGTTTAGTATTTCGGCAAGAACAGCGTCATATTGGTGGCATAAAGCAGACAATTCAGTAGCGGGCGACTTGCACAGCATCGACTTAGCAATGTCTTGGCGAAAAGCATCTAAATCAATGAAGCAAATTTTACGATAGGAGACAGTACGTGACTTGCAAATAGGTTTGACAGCAGACAGCGAACAATGAACAGCAAAGTGATCAGACAGAACAGGATCATGAATAAAGAAATTACGAAAGAAGACATCATCAGTTCTTGTTATCAAAAGGTCAAGAGCATGGCCTTTCTTGTGTGTAGGGGAAGTCGTGTCGATGCAGTGTAGAGAAAAACAGTCAAGTAGATCCAAAAATTTCTTGCTTGAATTGTCATTTTTGTCATCGACATGAACATTAAAGTCACCATAAATTAAAAGCTTACCAGGATAAATGGACAACGGTTTTAACAATGAGGAGAAGTCTTGAATGAAAGATCCAAACGACGAGGAAGGAGGTCGATAAACAACAACAACACAAAAAACTTGGTCATGCGAACGAAATTTCAGCTCAATGGATTCAAAGGAATTATAAACAGCAGATTCACATAGTTTTACATTGAAGGAATTACGATAAATAACACCCACACCACCACCTGAACGATTTTTACGAGGAAGATGAGAAATAGAGTAGCCAGAGGGACACACATCACGGATTTCAAAGTCAGAGTCATCTTTTAGCCATGTTTCAGTCACAGCAAATATATCAAAATTATGTTCAACGATATAGTCTTTAACGCGAAGGGTTTTCTTATTCAAGGATCTTGTATTTAGAAGACAAAAACGAATGAAATCTTTACTAGAAGGTATGGATGCAGTTTCAGATGGAGTCTTGTTTACTAGCGAAGAGTTTCTGCGAAAGCGACGACCAGCACGTTTACCACGGAAGCGAAAAATATTTAATTCTTTAAGCAGTGAACAGCAATTTGGAGTTTTAATTGTAGACTGACGGTGAAATTTATAGAGATCAGCTGAAGAATAAGTTATTTCAGGAATCCGACGAGATCTTGAGGAAGAACACAAAGTAGAATTCAAATTTGAAAGATCAACGGACACATCATGGATCCGTGTTGAAAAATTATGCGGAGCTCCATTAACTTGATTAGCATGCAAAAGAGAACGTTTATCTGACAGAGTTTGACAATTTGACGATGAACAATTCAACGAAGCACAAAACGATGATGAGTTACAGGAATTAGTAGACAGCACAGATGTGGAATTCAAAATTAACGGTAATTGATCAGAGTTACTTTTAGACGTTGTAGGGCCAGGATTAAGTTCAATGTCCATAGAAATAGTAATATCAGTCGGCGGGTCATGTCCAGGAATAGATAGAGTCGTACCGCCATGTTTAGTTGTCTTTGTAACAGCAAAAGAGGACTTTTTGAAACCAGTAGAAATCAACTTGATACACTTGAAACGTAACGGACGATACGACGAAAACACAAACTTGACAATAATACGTGCAGAAACCAAGGAAGAGGACGAACAATTATGATCACATTGACCATAACTTTGAAAATGAATGTAGAAATTTAAAGTTAATAAAGCCAAAACAAAATAAATAACAAGAGTATGCACACGGCATAATTTAGCNACGGAAGCGAAAAATATTTAATTCTTTAAGCAGTGAACAGCAATTTGGAGTTTTAATTGTAGACTGACGGTGAAATTTATAGAGATCAGCTGAAGAATAAGTTATTTCAGGAATCCGACGAGATCTTGAGGAAGAACACAAAGCAGAATTCAAATTTGATAGATCAACGGACACATCATGGATCCGTGTTGAAAAATTATGCGGAGCTCCATTAACTTGATTAGCATGCAAAAGAGAACGTTTATCTGACAGAGTTTGACAATTTGACGATGAACAATTCAACGAAGCACAAAACGATGATGAGTTACAGGAATTAGTAGACAGCACAGATGTGGAATTCAAAATTAACGGTAATTGATCAGAGTTACTTTTAGACGTTGTAGGGCCAGGATTAAGTTCAATGTCCATAGAAATAGTAATATCAGTCGGCGGGTCATGTCCAGAAATTGTAACAGCAAATGAGGACTTTTTGAAACCAGTAGAAATCAACTTGATACACTTGAAACGTAACGGACGATAGGACGAAAACACAAACTTTACAATAATACGTGCAGAAACCAATGAAGAGGACGAACAATTATGATCACATTGACCATAACTTTTAAACTGAATGTAGGAATTTAAAGATAATAAAGCCAAAACAAAATAAATAACAAGAGTATGCACACGCAATTTGAGGCGCGCGAGGTACACTATTGAAAGTCGTTTCACGCCAATGATGTTGCTTGCGGTGTTCAAGAAAGTACAATACAAGTTATTGAAGCATCGCTTGGCACAAATGAATGTACGTTTTACGCTAATGAACAGCAAAAGGTGTAATTAAATTTGCACAAATAAATGCACTACACACTGGTGAAAGTTGATTTGAGTGAAAACAGTTAACGGTCCTTAACATACACATTTAACCCACGATTAACGGAAATCAAAGTTGGCACTTTTCACAAGTCGAGGACTACTGAAAATAGATCTCGAGTAGCGTAGCCAATCAGAGTGTAGGATTTGCAATAGTCTATTTTAGTGAATCTGATACTTATTGATGTCCTAGTTTTGTGGATCTCCTGATTGTCTAATAACGTTTGAAATTTTGGCGCAATTTTATTTTATCATTTCAAGTTATAATTGATAAACCAACAAGCGAATTTTCCTTACTTGATTGTAAACTGAGACAATATTAAAACATGCTGCGTTACATACACCTGGAATTGCAATCCACATTTGTATATGGGATGGGAGTGGCAAACCTTTTTCTAAAAATAGCTGGGAATGTTATGCAAAACGTACCCAGTATTGCATGTAAGAGACAGTGATAAGCTTGAAAAAATTACTGTCAGTTTCCTAGGAAACAATTTGGTATGATGGTTTTCGTCCTATTTTATTACTTTCCTCCGGAGATCTTTGATGTTAAATGCAACCCATTGTTTTCAGCTCCACCTCGCAGTCCTACTCTTCAAGTTGAAAAGACATCATTTTGTCTCAATGCAACTGTTAATATAACCTGTACTTCAAAAACTGGTAATCCACCAAACACCACTATAGTATTTTTCAAAGATAATGAAAAAATCAGAGAAGTGAAGAATGATGTAGAAGCAAAAGCAATGGTTACCATCAATCTGGACAAAGCAGGAATTGAGACCTTCACCTGTCAAGTTGAAAACATTGCTGGATCGTCTCAAAACAGTACTTTGTTAAATCTTACAGTAAAAGGTACATTGATTTCAAAATCTTAACTGTGATAATATTATTATGAAAATATARTTKTTTTGTGCTCAACTTTGTAAAATGGCAGTCTGAAAATAAAGTACTGTAATTTGTTCAAGCACTCTACTGTCTTTCACCCACAKACATTCATAAATACATATATGTTATTTACCCGCTGGGAGGTCCGTATAGGAAATAACTGCCTGAGGTCTTGACAGTACAGAACAAGGGCGGCGAGGTCCGTACATAAAAGACTGAGGGCAGTGTTTTCCTGTACAGCAGGTATCAGGTTATTTCGCACAAAAGACCGTTCGCACAAGTCGTTTCGCCCGAAGTTTCGAATCGTTCGCACAATTCTTATACGCTGTGTCTAAATGGCCGGTTACCGGTCAAGGTCTTGAAAATGCTAAATGGTCGGCAGCCCATAAAACGTGTTTTTTCCTCTCTTATTATCTAAACGAGCTTCCAAACTCCAAAATAAAACTCTATGACTAAAATGAGCGTGTTAAAACTTACATAAACGTCGCGCCGAAATTCGTTGCACTATAGAGACATTGTGCGAACTTCAGTGAAACGACTGCCGGCCATGCAAAAACGAAATCCTAAATGGCCGGCAGCCCATAAAATAACAGATTTCTCTTTTATTATTCTTATTTAAAGAGTTAAAACAACATAATCARCATTTCTGAAACTTTCATGGTACTGTAGAGACATTTTTCTTTTCGAGAATAATCTTGAACCAACACGGCGGACAGCCGGTAACACAACATCAAAATCCTAAATGACCGGCAGCTCACAAAATAACAGATTTGTCTTTTATTATTCTTATTTAAAGAGTTAAAACAACATAATCAACATTTCTGAAACTTTCATGGTACTGTACAGACATTTTTCTATTCGAGAAAAATCTCAACCAACTGACGGCGGACTGCCGGTCACGCAACGTCGAAATCCTAAATGACCGGCAGCTCATAAATAACAGATTATTCTTTACATGCATCTTTTATCATTCAAATTTAAGAGTTAAAGGATTACTGCCAGTTCCAACTGTAAGTACATTACTCTATCCGAGAAAAATCTGCATTCTTTACTAGGATTACAGTTCATTCGTACAGAATCCACAACGGCAAATGTTGGCAAAATCCATCATGGTGACCGATACACGTGGCTCTCAGAGTTCAAAGTCACCTGACAGTTTCGTCTGACTATTAGTTAGTACGGCGAAACTTTCTACTTCTACTAAGTATGGACTGACGTATCAGTGATTCTGTTTTGGAAACGTTGGAAAAAAACCGTCCATGCATTGCCCTGCCCAAAGTCCACTACCTTGCGCGGAATGCTAACAGGTACCGTCAACGCCTWCGGCCGGAAGAACTACGAGACCTAGACTTCGAGTTGACAGAAGACCGTCGGTTCCTCAACAGATGACTTCCTTCGTGGTGATGTACGCGTTAAAGACCGTCGTCACCTAATTTTCGCAACAGCAGAGCAACTTAAACTACTTGCAAAAGCAAAGTATTGGTAGGTATAATAATAACTAATTAGGTATAATAATAAATAATTAATGACAGTAATTTTGTTGTTTCTAAGTTCAATACTATCTCTATCTTCAGGTATATGGACGGTACTTTGTCGACAACCTTTTACACAACTATATTCTATCAATGCCCTTGTTTGCAAGGACGACTGCAGCAAACAGGTTCCCATGGTATACATACTTATGTCCTGACGAAAGGCCTGTGATTACCAAAAGGTTAGACATGGTTTAATTTTCATTACGATAATAAGAATTGGACGTTCATTTAAAAATTGCATACATATTGTTAAACTGCTTTCAAATCATAATGCAAATAACAAATGTACTTCGTAGGTACTCGAGGAAATCATCAATATGTTGCCCACGGTACCAAGAGTCAAGCGTATAGTTCTTGATTTTGAGAAGTCTGCCTGGAAAGCCCTTTCCAGGGTTTTACCAACAGTCAAGCTATCCGGTTGTTCCTTTCATTGGAGCAAAGCTGTTTGGAGAAAGGTATGGCAAAAAACAATTAAGTAAAGTAATATGAAATTCGTATCTTATATGACTTTTCTTGTCTCATCAGATCCAGTATTTAGGACTCCAGGCAGCATACCATGAGGACAGAGCAGCCCAGACGTTCCTGAGAAATGTTATGGCTTTGCCATACATCCCGGCAGACGACATTGAAGAGATGTTCAACCGGCTTCACGAACAGGCAAACCAGAACGATTCCCTGTTAAACCTGCTCCAGTATGTCCGTAAAACCTGGATCTACGCGAATAGATGGGATCCCACCACTTGGTCTGCTTACAGAAGGTTGGTATTTAATGTGAAGCATATTGAAATGAAACAGCTAGTTCTAACATCTGATTTTTCATTGCAGGAATATTCGCACTAACAACGACATTGAGGGATGGCACAACAGAATTAACCAAACAAGCCTCAAACAGACATCAGCTCCAATTCTACGATCTCGTAAGACTACTACACAAGGAAGCCAAGACCGTAGATCTTCAAGTCGAACTTGTTAGTCAGAGAAAATTGACCAGAATTCAACGGAAACAATATTTAGAACTTCAATCGCATATTATTAGGCTCTGGGATCGATTTGACAATGACGAAATCGATGTATATAGATTACTTACTGAATGTTCAACTTTAGCCGTACCTTCCGTGTGTACAAGTGACTGATAGTTATATATC